TGTTAAAAGAATAGGTGATAGGCTCTTATTAATTAAACTTGTATTAGGAGAAAAGATAATTAATGTAATTAGTGCTTATGCACCACAAATAGGATTAGATGATAGAATTTAAAGACAATTTTGAGAGGACATTGATAGAATAGTCCAAGACATACCAAATAGAGAGATAATTTTTTTACAAAAGGACTTAAATGGTCATGTAGGGAATGATAGTAAATGATCTGAAGGGGTACATGAGGGATATGGATTTGGAGAAAAAAATGAGATGGGTGAGACTATTCTAGATTTTGTCATGGCCTACGACCCAACAATAGCAAATACTACTTTTAAAAATGAGATGAACATTTAATAACCTACAAAAGTGGATCACATAAAAGCCACATATGCATCGACCTAATTAAGAAGGTAGATCGACCATCATGTAAAGACTACAAGGTTATCCCAGAAGAGAGTTTGACTACCCAACATAGCTCATGGCTATGGACATCTACATAAAGACATGGAAGAGAAGGGGTGAAAGTAATTGACGTCCAAAAGCTAGGTAGTGGGATTTAAAAAATGAGATATTAGAATTATTTAGGGATAAATTAGTTGAAAAAAAAAAATGAAACTCTGACCATGATGTCGATGTAATATGGCATGAGATAGTTAACTATATCAAAAAAGTGGCAAAAGAAGTTTTAGAATAATCTAAAGGGCAAATAAACTACAGTAAGGAAACTTGTTGGTGGAGTGATGAAGTTCAGAAGGCTATTAGGGAAAAACAATCATATTATAAAACTTGGCAATGTAATAGAAACGATCAAAACTTAGAATATAAAAATGCTAAGAAAAACGCTAAACAAATAGTAAGTAAAACTAAACTTAAATCATACGATAGTAATCTATACAATAAATTAGGAACAAGATAAGGTAAAAATAGATGTTTTCAATTCAGAAAAATTAATAGAGAAAAAGTGTAAAGGTCATAACCATATTAAATACATTAAGAGTGATGATCAAAGGGTCTTGGTAAGGGATGACAAGATCCACAAAACGTGACGAGTTTATTTTCAAAAATTATTAACTGACGAACACAATGGGAAAATAGCGGTAGAAGAAACGGTTGATACAAATGAGGGTGGAGGTCATAGATACATATGTACGATTAGGATATTAGAAGTGAAAGAAGTTTTGAAAATAATGAAGATATGAAAGGCTTTAGGACCAAATTGTATCCCGATATAGGCTTGGAAATACACGGGGGAGATTGGCACAAAGAAAATGTCAAACGAATGGAGATAAAATAATGTTGTACCTATTTACAAGAACAAATGAGACATACATAATTGTGCGAATTATCGAGGTATCAAGCTTATGAGTCATACAACTAAAGCATTAAACGAGTGTATCTGAAAACCAATTTAATTTTAGGGAAATTATTAAAAATATACCTTAATTTTCGTCTATTTAGAAAAAAACCATCAACTTTCATAAACCTTGCCCACACCTTTTTTCTTCAATTTTGAGCGTTTTTTTACCAAAATAACATTCACGGTAATCATATTACCGTGAAGCACAATTACGGTACTTTAAATACCGTAAAAACTACTTTATGTTATATGGCATTTTAAGTACCTTAAAAACTAACCCATGTTATACGGCACTAGAAATGCCGTAAGCCCACCCACGTTTTATGGCATTTTAAGTACCGTAAAAACTAACTCATGTTATACGGCACTTGAAATGCCGTAAACCCTTTTCTTCTTTTATTTGTATTTATCTCTTTCATCTCTAATTCTTTTTATGTTTATCTCTTCTTTCTCTATCTAATTCTTTTTTATATTTATCTTTTTTTTCTCTCTCTAATTTTTTTTTATCTCTTCTTTCTTTTTCTCTCTAAATCTTTTTTCTCTCTAACTATCTTTCTCTCTCCAAGGAGATTTGTATAACAAACCAATGAGCACAGTACCCTCCCCTATAAAAACTCCATTCAACCCCATATCCGATGAAAATTAGACGGAGTCAGATTTGTATCATGTTGGAATAATGTTTGTTGAGTTGATGAAGTAGATAGAAGAGAGTTAGAGAGAGAAAAGATTTAGAAAGAGAAAGAAGAGATAAAAAACTTAGAGAGAGAAAGAAGAAATAAACATAAAAAGAATTAGAGAGAAAGAAAAGATAAATATAAAAGAATTAGAGATAAATATAAACAGAAAGATAAAAAAGTTTACGAGATTTCGAGGGCTATATAAGATGGGTTAGTTTTTACGGTACTTAAAATGCCATATAACATGGGTGGGTTTACGACATTTCAAGTGTCGTATAACATAAGTTAGTTTTTATGGTACTTAAACTGCCGTATAACATGGGTTAGTTTTTATGGTACTTAAAGCATCATAATTATGCTTCACAGTAATAAGACTACCGTGAAAGTTATTTTGGTCAAAAAGCGCCCATAATTGAACAAAAATAATGTGGGTGAGTTTATGAAAGTTAAGGGGCTTTTTCTAAATAGATAAAAATTAAGGTATATTTGTGATAATTTCTCTTGATTTTATACTAGAAAAGTTAACAACTGGAGCTATTTTCCTACTTAGCTAACTGATTGAGAAGTTTAGAGCAAAGGGAAAAGACATCTACATGGTATTTATTGATCTAGAGTGACAAGTACTAGAAAATAAGTCTTCAAACACTACATCAACTTGGTGAAATAGATGTACAATGAAGCACTAACTAGTTTACGAACAACTAGTGAAGATACGATTGATTTTTCAATGACAATAGATCTGCTTCAAGGGTCAATATTGAGCATGTACCTCTTTGTCTTGGTTATGGATGACTTAACTAAGCACCTACAAAATGATGTATCATAGTGCATGTTGTTCGCAAATGACATAGTTTTGATCGAGGAGACCTGAAACGATGTTAAACACAAAGTTAGAACTTTAGAAGAATGCTCTAGAATCCGAAGGTTGTAAAATTGGCCAGACTAAGACAGTGTATATGTAATGCAAGTTTAATAATTATAGGAGTAGAGACGAGGAAGCAGTTAAGATTGACGGCCAAGAAGTACAAAAAAGATCGAACTTCCGATATCTTGAGTTGATATTTCAAAAAAATAGAAAGATTGAGAAAGATGTTGCACACAAGATTAGATCTGGGTAGATGAAATGGAGACGTGTAACTAGAGTTTTATGTGATCGTCATATACCAATAAAACTGAAGGGTAAATTCTATAGGATAGTTGTGAGACTAGTTTTGCTCTATGGGGGGGAATGTTGGGCGGATAGAAAACAATAAACCCATAGAATTGAGTGTATCGAAAATGAGGATGTTGAGATGGATGAGTGACAAAATAAGAAATGATAGAATTTGAAACGAATCCATTTGAAAGAATTTAAGTACGGCACCAATATGCGATAAGATGAGAGAGAATAGACTTAGGTGGGCTGGTCATGTGTGGTGCCGATTAAATACAACACCTGTTAGGAGGTGCGAGTTAGTTCAAATAAAAAGACTGAAAAGAGCAAGGGATAAGCTCAAAACGATATGGTTGGAAATAATCTGAAAAGATATAAGAGCTTACGACCTCACAAAGGTATGGCATTTAATATAGCAGGATGAAAAACCAGGATTTGTACAGCTGGCCTCAATTAATTGGAAAAAAACTAAGATAATGATGATTGTTTCTTCAATATAAGCCCTAAGTTTATTGCTTCAAATCGAGCAAAGCAATTGATAGATCTTGCTCCAAAACATCAAACCTGTTTAAGAACACAATATCTATTTCCTAGACAACATATACGCAGTTTTTGCTTAATTTTATTTTGCTTCTTTAATTTTAATTCAAAACAAAAAAAACTTCAAAAGAATTTATTTCATCTTAATTGTAGGGATGTTTCCCTTTTTTTGGGCTCACCAAAGCCCTTTCCTTACTGGGGCATGCCTCGGGCAAGTCCGATGGATTAAGATCGCAACTTCATCATACATAAAGAGTCAAATCCCAAAGTTGATTATGATTGTTGTGAACATCAACCAAGAAACCCAATGCAAATTTCCAACAAGTTTATTTAAATCACAATTCCATATAAATCAATTCAACTAACTAAAACTGTAAAACTGATTCCCTGTAGTTTTTTTCTGGCTCATGCAACAGCTTGCAGGCCATGTTTTGTTTCTTTCTTAGAGAGAAACTTATTGAGAAAGAGCTCGTTATGAGTATAGTGCATGAGAGTCAAGAGAAGCTTACTGTAACAAATGTTAAGAAACAATCTAACCATCAGCAAGAGAAGAATCTAGGAGCACGTTGCTGTAATTTATTGTGATATTCTCGAGCTCTTATAGATTTGAGAGGCATGTTCTTATATCAAACTCACAAGGAAGCATAATAAAAATAAAGAGGTTTTAAAGTCTCAATGCCCACATGTCTCTTTTATCAGGTGCCCCTTCTTTTTCCTCTCTACTTTCATTCGTATCCCTCTTAAAACCTTTTTTCAAGTGGGGCAAAAACACAAGAAAAAGAAAACCCAAGTTGCATAAAATAATTTACTTTTTAAATTTTCTATTTCAACTAAATATATCCAAAAAAAAAATTAAACAAAAGTTCCCAAATTGCCTTGTTCAAGGTTAAGAACCCGAACAATTAGGGACATTTTAGTAATTTTAGAGGCAATTCATTCCATTAAACCCTCCTTGGAGGTAAAATTACTAAAATGCTCCAAATAGTTGAAGTTAATCTAAGCAGAAAAGGGGGCAATTGGGATTTTTTAACTTTTTTAAGTGTACCTAATTGAAATAGAAATTTAAAACTAAATTCTTAGATATAAATTGTTATTAGTGTTTGCATGGGATTTCCACCCACCCCTCAGCTGCTTGCTATTTTCCCCAAAAACATAATGAAAATAAAACTTCAAACGAAATACCAATTGCAGGTCTAACCAAACAGGTATTACAAAAATCCAATTATATAAAATATAAAACCAATTATCAACCACTAGTTCTGACGGCAGAAAAAAGAAACTATAACTTTAATACTTTCTTTTATACAAAATATTTACACCCAGCTAATAAAGATCCTTACAATGGTCATGGCACGGTAATGGTCTAGATTGCACTATGCACAGTTGGATTAAAGCCGGTTCTATTATGTACCTATATATAGTGAAAGAGAAACTTATATACTTGTTTGTAACAAAAGCAACTGATCCACCTGGATTTCAGGACCTTGAATTCAACGGTTTTGGGTTTTTGATCAAAAGGCGAGCAAGAGGATGATGGGTCTTAAGAGCATCCTAAAACCTCGTCTAGCACCCACTGAGTAGATGAGGTCTGTTCTGAGTAGGGACTTGGTGATCACCAGCACACAAAAGTCTGTACATTATGTACATTGAGAAACAGCAACTTCAAAACTCTTAGATGGTCAATCTCCAGCTTTATTTCGTTTAAGTAAGAAGTCCTTCATTTCTTTGTAATTCTTGAGCTCCTCAAAAGCAACAGCGGCAGTCATAGGAGCGAGGAAACCTGAACTTGAAATGCCCAAGAGTGAACTCTCTGTCTTAGGGTTCTCTTCTCGAAAATGTATGGGGTCATGAAGTTGAGATTTTTGACCCTGGGTTTCGACATTGGAAACTTGAGATAATTTAGATGAGTTGAGGGAATCTTGACGTAAAGGAGGTGCACTCCTCAGCATGTGCACAAGGGCACCAACTGCGGCATCTTGGGACTTTTTGGCAGACATCATCTGTCTGGATTCCACAGCCTTGCCAAGATTTGTCTTTCGATCAAATGACAAGCACCTGTAGGAAGAGAAAATGTGCAGAATGTCAAGGGAGGCATATTACATGAAACAACTACAACTTTACACAGCTATACATTTTGTGCATGAGAACGTGAAATGTGCGGAAGAGAGAGAGCAGGTGATTCAGGAGAAAGGTAGGGGTGGCAATGGACAGGGGCCCAGCCCGGCTCGAAAAAAGAAAAAAAGGTCCTAGGCCACATAATGTGGCCCAAGGACTGGGCCAGCCCAGTTTGGCCCGGCCCAGCTGAGCCCTTTGTCATTTAGTTTTTATGTAATTTTATTTGGCCCGGCCCAGCGCACCCCGGCCAACATAGGACCAGGGCCTTCCCATGGGCACTAGGGCCGGGCTAGGGCCAGGACTGGCCCAGCCCATTGCCAGCCCTAGCCTTATAAAAAAGGCAACTAGCCTAGGGGTATATAAAACTATCTTCAACCATGAAACAAACAAAACATGCGGATATGACGATTTATTTGCCATGGGCGATAAGCATATTGGGCCACCCCATTCTCTATATGCAAGAGCATTCAACAATTATTCACCTCAAAAGATCAATATCAAATTTCTGACTTTGTATCAATATGTAATATCTAGACTTGTCCCTTGACCTGTGGTGGGTATGGAGTGTTCAATAAAGCGGACCGCCCAGCGCCTAGGTAGTCCAGAAGGCCCAGGCGCATCGCCTGAGCCTAGGCAGACGAACTGGGCGGCAGTCCCTACGCCCCGCCTAAAGACAGAAATTATTATTTTTTAGTTGTATTGATTTTTTTGAAATATAAAAGGTTTGAAGGGTGGGTTTTAAATTCATTTCAAACCTAAACCCACAATAACCCATTTTAGAGAGAAAGAAACCTCAAGAAAACTAAATTTTGTGACTTTCATTGGAACGATGTGCTTCTCAAAGGCAATCAAAATAAGTGCAAAAATTTATTTTTTAGATTGCTTGTTTTATTTTGAGATGTCTTCTTCAAGATCTAGTCGAAGTGGAGATCCGGGTTGGAAATATAGATATAACCCGAATCCAAATGACAAATTGCATTACATGCAATTTTTGTGAAAAAGATATGAAAAGGGGAATAAACCGGTTTAAGAAGCATCTTGCCGGTATTAAGAGGGATGTTGCCCCTTGTAAAAATGTTCCTGAAGCTATCAAAGAGGAGATTAAGCAATATAGGAGTTTTGTAAAACAAAAACAGGAATAAAATCTGTCATTTGAATACATCTATTTCTGCTACTTCTAGAGAAGTGATCCGGGCTGAAAGTATGGTTATAACCCAAAACCAAACGATAAAAATTGTATAAGGCGTAATTTTTATGAAAACTATACCAGTGGGGGTATTAACCGATTCAAGAAACACCTTGTTGGTATTAAAGGGAATGTTGCTTCTTGTAAAAAGGTTCCTAAAGCTATTCGAGATAAGATTAGACAACTTCTGAATTTAAAAGAACCAGACAATGATGAAAATGAGCCTTGTTCTACGAAAATATCTTCTCCAGGTTCTTCTAGAAATGGTGATTTGGGTTGGAAGTATGGTTATAACTCGAATCCGAATGACAAAAATCATATTAAATGTAATTATTGTGGAAAGGATACTAATGAGAGCATTTACCGGTTTAAAAAACACATTGTCGGTATTAAGGGGGATGTTGCCCCATGTAAAAATGTTCCTGGCGCTACCAGGGAGGAAATTATACAATATTTTAGTTCAGGGAAGCACAGAAAGATAGAAAACACTAGAGCAGCCAAGACTCTGCACATACTAGTAAGAGGGAGGTAGAAGAAGAGGAGGAAGAGGCAGATTCAGAAGAAACAGAGGAACGTTATATTGAAGAGGGAGATGACTCTGATAATGATGGCCTCGATTTTAATGCATATGATGAAGCTGACCTTATTCCTTCTGATGATGATGACTGAAGACACTTGGTATTGAGTGTTGACTATTGTGTCCTAGACTGTATATTTTCTGAATTTCTGTATATTTTCTGAATTTTTATATATTTCTTTTTCTTAGTTTTAGTTTCTACTTTCTAGTTTCTAGTTCTACTATCTAACTTTTGTGTTTACAATCTACAATGTATCAGACTATCAGTGTATGCTTGTATGGTTTTATTGTTTTAGAATTGTATGAAAAATATGGATTATGGTCTTATGGATTATCAAAATTATTTTCTCGACTGCTATCTGTTTTTTTTTACTAGGATTATGGTCTTAGTTTTTTTTTGTTTTTTTTTTCAATTGGGCAGCCCAAGTTCTGGGAGCCCGCCTAGGCAAGCCGCCCAAGCGCTGGGCGGCCTGGTCCCCCATGGCCTCCTGGGTGCCGCCTAGCGTTTTTTGAAACTATGTGGAGGTCTATGTGTCAACCCATATGTTGCAGGTTCAAATCCCACTCCTAGCAATGTTTTAAGAAAAGAAAAAGCACTTTGCTATTGAAGTATTATATGCCCTACAAATGGAGGAGAGAGACTAATTGAAAGAGAAAAGATAGCGTATGGGTTTGGAGTTAGGACTGGGGGACCGCACCTAAACCAGGCATATCTCAAAAATTCAAAATAACATAGTGAAGATTCTATAGATGTCCCAAGCCTAGCACGCCTACCGTGCTACATGTAGTATACGGAGTATTCAAAAAACGTGGCATCAACCGTCTATTCTCATCAAGGTGATTGGGATGGGCAGCTCCTCCTTTTAAATGGATATTCATGAACTTGAAGAAAGAAACAGTTCATCACAACTGTCGACTGAAAACAGACAATTGCAGCCACTTGTAGTATATTGTTTGTTGACTACAAGTAGAATGTTATAAACATTGTTAAATAAAAGATATAGCTTTTTTTTCTGTCCTGAGTATAGCCATGTTGACTTTCATCTATAGTCATTAGTGAAAGCCGTTTTTGTACTTCACGCACTCAATTCTTGTACATATGTATGTCCCCATCTCAATTATGAAGCTTCAATGATACATTATTACCAAAAAAAGTAAAGAAGAACAACATATTTTGTGTAGCCAACCCCAATTAGCTGGGAAAAGGCATTAACGATAATGATGAACTCTCTATCTCAATCATCATTGTTAAGAGCAAGGAAAGTAATAACAAATGGACCTGCCGCCAAAATATGAATGAAAGATATCAATATCTCCTCTGATCAACTTCATTTTAATTAACAAGCATTTTGCTCAATCTATGCGTTTTATGATGATTGAACTAATAATGAAAGTAGAACCAAAATGCCCCAATAGCACAAGATCTCTAGTATTTCCTCTAGCAGGCCCCACCCATCGAAGGGACAAGGCTGCCTTGCCTAGCTATCAAATTGCAATCATAAAGTCCCATTTCATGATGACTCTGTTAGAAAAGTTCGATTCTATTGCCAAGAGTACCACTCTTTGGCAATAAAATCGAACTTCTCTGACAGAGTCATCATGGAATGATGATATGAGAAAAGGTCCAATTTGAGGGAAGGAGCCCCAAATGAGTGATTCTCTGGATATGTAGCTTCTGCCAAAGTGACATGGTAGGGAAGGATCAGCCCTTACTCATGGTATGGAAAGAAAACCCATGTAGAAAAATAAAGGAGCAAAGACGCCCAAAATACATGGTTTGGAAATTTGCCTAAGTCTCTCACTTCCACTATCATGAACAAACCATTGAGAATCAAGGTTATCAAATAGCGGATGCAGCTTGAGGTGCTAGGAGATTCTAATTAACTATGCATCTCGATGCAAGCGCATCCTATGCAGGAAATGAATACAAAAATATTAAAACACAAAGAATAACACCAGTTTAAGGTTATTTAAACACACTCCAGGACTTACCTAGGGCCCAAAGCGAGTCAACCTGACGAGTCTTGAGTGGACTTGCCAAGTTTTGCCCCAGTTTGACAAGTAACCCAAGAAAATCCCAACAAAAAAAAAAGAAAGAGAAAATAGAAAAAAGAAAAAATCATAAAACCAATTTACAAAAAGGAAAATGATAAAAATATGATTTTATTAGCATATACTCTATCTGTAAACATGAATTTTATTTTTTCTCTCTTTTTTGTTTTTGTTGTCGTTGGGAGGGGGATTGAATCTTACTGATCTTTTGAGAGAATTCAACAAAAATACAATACTAACTAAAATATTAGTAGAATCTAGAGATAGTGATAGTAATCCAAAAAACAATTATTTACATCAATATGATCAGAAAAAATAAAACCTACCGAAAATTTCGAAGGTCATCCTCCATCCTTTGTGCTCGGTGCAAATCAATACCTAAAATCTTTGCGAAGGGGTCCTCAAATACCAAATCGAAACCCCTAAACTAGATTGGGGATTCGAGTTCAGATCTAGTTGATCCTAGCTCTTGAAATTTTCAGTCAAATAGTGTTTCAATGCTCAAAATATTGAAAATCTGAGATTCTGAGTGATTTTTTGCGAGAACTAAGCCTATGATTCAAAGAAGAACTAAAAATTATGCTTACTAACAAATTCCAACCAAGACTGAGCTAGGGTTACAATGATTTCACAAGTGTTTTAACTTCGACCAAATCCTCAGTCAAAAATCTCAATCTCTCCAATCCCAGAAAATTAATGTTTTTCTTTTGAATCTAATCTATTCATTAGATAGAGGATGCAAGCTGTCAGAAATTCGCTAAGTCTCTGACAAGTCACCCGAGTTACTACAATAACTTGGGCTAGCTCCACTACAAGAGTAGGAAGGAGTTCAGGGCTTTATAGGCTGCTGAGCCCAAGTGACTCCAGCAAGTCCAAGTTGGACTGCCAAGTTCTATAACACTGAATAACACAAATATGTAATTTATATGATAGTAAGCATGTCAATGTACTATTTGTCGCTAGACTATACGTTTTAATGTCACCAATAGAGTAATAAAGACATATTGTCTCCAATATAATTAGCAAGAAAAAAATAAAATGATCCAATCCATTTATAAATTTGAAATAAAAAAAAAGACAAAAGGAAGTGAGTATGGCAATATACCAAGCACTTGAGAAAACACA